TTTCCTGATATTGCAGATGTCTCTGAAGATCATTTATACCCATCATTACTTCAAAATTATGATAGTTATTAGCTTGATTTCACTTAATGCTTCAGTGAAGAAGCATGTCTAACCGTTAGTTCACAATGTTTTTTCTAAAGTATTTTTGTAAATACATTTCAATGTAACTGGTCTACTTTTTAGCCATGTGTTTTATTTTATACATTTACAAACACTGTTTTGAGTTTATAGGCCTTACAGGTAGCTAATGGGGTATATAGAACAATAATGATCAGGCATCTATAAAACATTTATTTTCAAACTTCCTAGACCTAACTTTTTCCCTTTTTAAAAATTCAAGTGAAATTCACATAATATATATTAAAACTTTTTAAAGCATAAAATTCAGTGGCATCTCCTGCACTCAAAATATTGTGCAACCAACCATCTCTCTAGTTTCAAATGTTTTTAATACCGCAGAAGAACACAACTTATCCTTTAAGTATTCACACCCTGTTCTTCCCTCTCTCCATCTCTTGAAAACTACTAATCTTTTAAAAAAATATCTCTAAGGATTTGCCTATTATGGACATATCATATGGAAGGAATCATACAACATGTGACTTTTTGTATCTGATGGCTTTCACTTAACCTTGATGATTTTGATGTTTATCCAAGTTGTAGAATGTTTCTTCATTCCTTCTTATGGCTGAATAATATCCACTGTATGTGTATACCTTAACTTGTTTATCCAACTCAACAACAAAAAGACAAATGATCTAATTAAACAATGGATAATGAACTTGAACAGACATTTTTCCAAAGAAGATATACAAATAGCCCAAAAAAGAATCACACAGGAAAAGATGCTCATTGGTCATTAAAGAAATACAAAAAACCAGAATGAGATACCACTACACACCCAGTAGGATGGCTATAATACATTTTAAAAAAAGAAATAATTATGACAAGGATGTAGAAAAATTGTATATTGCTGTGGGAATGTAAAATGGTACAGTTGCTTTGGAAAACAGTTTGGTGGTTTCTCAAAGTTAAACATAGAATTGCCTTGTGACCCAGGAGAAATGAAAACATGTCTACAGAGAATACATATGAATATTTATAGCAGTAATATAACAGCCAAAAGATGGAAATAATCCAAATGACTATTAATGGGTAAATGGATAAACTAAACTTCCTTTTTAATAAGAAATCTTTTGTAGTAACATCTTTACTTTCTTGAAATGGAATTGATAGATAATAAAAGCTACTACACTGATAATTTTAGAAAAAGTCAATGTAATGCCTCACTTTCATATAAAAAAGATGTAAAAGGGAAATAGTTTGTAATAAAATCATACATATTTCAATATTCAAATACTCAGGCACCAGCCCTTGTGATCTATGAAGTAGATGTATGTCGGCACCCATGCAGCAAATCAAAATGAATTAAGTTGCAGGTACAGACTGATACAGTATTAGAGACTCAAATATCATGAACATATTAAAAATGCAAAAATACTTTGTGACATATAAAAAATGACATTAGTTTTTAAACTGAGATAATTTGGGGGAAAAAAACAGATTTTGCATCTAAATGAATGTCTGGAGGGAAATTTGAGAGCAATGAAGGACATAGGATAATACTTTCTAGGGTAGGGTTTCTAGGATTTTTGGTGTTTTTGGTATTAGGAAACTTTATGGTGTTAATTTAAGGAAGAATTCTCTGGGGAAAATTCTTTTCACCATTTTCAAAAGAAAGCCATTGTTTAATTATATTCGGTCATAAAAAAACGAAATTTCGTTATTTGTAACATCATAAGTGGACCTGAGGGTATTAGGCTAAGTGAAATGAATCAAAGACAAATACTATATGATATCACTTATATTTAGAACCTAAAAGAATACAACAAACTAGTGAATGTAGCATAAAAGAAACAGACCCACAGATAACAGAGAACAAATATGTTGTTACCAATCAGGAGGGGGAAGGAAGGAATGGCAGGAAAGGGGTAGGGGATTTAGAGGTACAAACTACTATGTGTAAAATAAATAAGTACAAGGATATATTGCACAACACAGCGTATATAGCCAATAATTTATAATGACTACAAATGGAATATAACCTTAAAAATTGTGACTCATTATGTTGTACCTGAAAGTTATATAACACTCTATGTCAACTATACCTCAATTTTTAAAAAAGGCCATCATTTTGAATGCCACAGAACAATAACGCCTAAGAGTCACACACCTGGAATGTTTGATCTTATTCTAAGAGTATCTAGATCATTAGAAAATAGCCCACAACTTTCTCTCAATAGGATTTTGTCTCGTTGAAACATCTGAACTTCAAAGGTTGATGGAACAATTACACTCTTTTTTCTATATAAGGAAACAATAAAATTATGCTGCCACTCTGATATAAAAGAAATTTCCCTCTTTTTTAATGGGAGAGTCCACTATATAGTTTTTCGCCTAATCAAGATGACACATTACAAAGCAACTACTGTTGACAGAAACATTTTAGGATCTATGACCTAAGTAGGGAGTCTGTCTATTGACAGTATCTCCTAGAGATCTTTTTGGGAACTTGGGTAGATCAGTCTCTTAATTTTAGCTGTCATGAAACAGTAATTGGAGATGCTGAAAGAACTCAGGTACCCAAGAATGTGAACCTTGTTCACAGCTGGAGTAGAAATATGTAAAACTTCTCATAGACCTAAGGAAAATTGAACTATAGGAAAAGAAAATGACATTTGTGGCAAACTGCAGGTTGTTCTCCAATTTCCGTTTTTTCCATAGTAGTATGGTTCCTAATTTTTATCTGGGCTTTTGATCATCCAGAAAAAGGACTGCTAGTCAGTTATGGGCAGTCAACTAGGTGCTGCTCAATGGGATGCAAATATATGTGGTATATGCAGTATCTGGGATGTGTTGTTAAGGAAAGAGCACATCCTACTTTTTTTTCTTTTTCTTCTTTCTTGCTAGGTAGAATGAAGATGTCATGCTTGGAGCTGTGGCAGTCATTTTGAGCTACAACGGTTACCTTAGGACTGGAGATGGAACACATCAGTGTAACAGGATAGAAATAATGTGGCTCCCTCATTAGGGGAGCCCTGTATCACTTACCTCCAGATACTGATGTTGATCAAAATCCTGACTACTGCCTAGACAGACGTAAGTACTATCCTCTCTATTTAAGCTACATGCTGACTACAGAGTTACCTTGGTAGGATTTCTGCCTTCAGATTTTTGTGAGTAAAAGCTTGTTTGCACCAATTTTTAAACATCTTATTTTATCTTGTTAACATTAAGAGCCAGAAGATGTAGTTTGTAGCCATGGAAGAGAGTGGTTAACTAGTTTGAATTGAATCAGATCTGTACTTGTGAGTTAATTACTAGAAATTAATTAACATAATCTACATAAAAATGTTTGTCTTATTCTGCAAGAGCCAGGATTTTAAGTTAGATTTATATTTTTCATGAATTTATGTATTCATTGTACTTAACATTTCATTTATTAGCTAATTTTTGTTATAGTAGTTTAACAGATTATTTTTAAAATGGCTTCTCTTTCAATTAAAACTATTTCATTTAGTTTTTGCAAAGATTGTAAGTGAACTTTTTTGCCTCTTGTAAAATTGTTACTCTTCTCTTTTTAATTTTAACTAAAAATGTATTGAGGTATAGCTGATGTACAATATTGTTTCAATATTATGTTTATGTTGAACATAAAATTACTACTCTTGTTTTCACTTTTATAGACTAAATAACTGAAGTATTTAATTTTCTTTAAAATTTTAATTTCTAATGGAAAAGTATCCTATTTAATGTTCTCTTCTGGATTCTCTGATTCTGATTTATTATGGGCATTGACCTTTATATTCGACAAGTCACTGATAAACTGGTGAAGGTGGAGGAAGGAACCCATGTAGACTGAGATGAGGGAAGAATATGAAAAAGAAGAGATGATACCTGTAGATGATATTTCCATAAATTTTTCTGGAAAGCTGATAATTTCATATGTCCTTAAGCTTAGAATTTCATATGCTTACGACAGAGGTTTGGTAGAGAGGGAGTTCCAGGAACTCCCTGTTGTTTAACTCAACAACAAAGGAGCCATTATCTATGTAAGGCATGATGGATGCGCCATTCTTCACTAAATCTCAGATCTTAAGTGCTTGGCATGTAGACAATCCAGTGGGCAGATCAGGGTGAAATGCGGAAGTTTACAAACATAGAGAGGCACAGTACCAGGTGCCACTGTAGGAAAGAAAAGAAAAAGGAATGATAAATCACCTCTACTTGGATTAAGCATGAAGGCTTCATGGAGAAGGCATTTGAGGAAGTGACCATCTGGGGCTCTGTAACTCATGTCAAGCCTTCACAAGGAGGCCTGATTACGTCTCACAGTGCCGTTTTCATGTGTCTGCACGCCTGTCTCCTACATTGGACAGGATATAGAGGGTGCTTGGGACAGAGCAATCAGTCAATATTAAGTCACCACGGCTGGGTGGCCACTAGTGGTAAAGAACCTGCCTGCCAATGTAGGATACATAAGAGACACAGGTCCGATCCCTGTCGGGAAGGTCCCCTGGAGAAGGAAACGGGAACCCATGCTAATATTCTTACCTGGAAAATCCCATGGACAGAGGAGCCTGGCGGGCTACAGTCCACGGGGTCGCAAATAGTTGGACACGACTGAAGTGACTTAGCACACACGCATGATAAATATGATCGTAAATACCGTCTGGATGAGTGAGTGAAGGAGTGAATGCATGTATACATTAATAAGCGGCAGTGAGCTCCTCAAGGGTGGTGGGTCTTGAACCTCGGCCTCGCTGCGGGTACCCTTGTGCCATCCTGCCAAGTTGCCAGGCGCTCTAATTTCTAGGAGCAGTCTCCACGCCAGCGTGGCGGGGGCGGGGTTCCAAACCTCTGCCCGGGAGTGCCCACTCCGGGCGGTAGGGGGCGCCGGCGCGCGGCCGGGCGCGTCCCCCGGCACCACCCGCGCGAAGCCGGACCAGTGTCTACGCCATGCGCGCGCTGCTGCTGCCGCTGCTGCGCACCAGCTGGGCCTGGCCGGTGGGCGCCGCCGCCGCCGCCGCCGCCCGCCTGCCGCGGGGAGCCAGCGCAGGGCCCGGGCCGCGTCGGACCATGACCCTGTACCGCACGGAGGAGCGCGGCCAGCCCCACTCTCCCGATTACCGCCTCTTTTTCAGTAAGTAGCTCGCTGGAGGCCCGCCTCGCGTCGCACCGGAGGTTGGGGATGGGAGCGTGGCCTCCATCCCTGCGTCCGGCGGGCACAGCGCGGTCGCCGCGCGGTCCAGGCCACGATCCCGCACTCGGGGGCCCGCGCCGGGCCGCGGGAGCTGCGAGCGAAGGGAGCCGCCAAGTCCCCAGTCACGGAGCGCAGAGAGGCAGGGCGGCAGGCGGGCCCGCGCCGGGTCACCCTGAGCGGGGGCCGCGGTCACCTGCCCGGGCCCGCAGCCGTTAGCCCGGCCCCCGCCGGCGTTCCGGATTCAACTGCGGTGAACGGAGTTCCCGGGTCAGCCCGCCCTCCGGGTGGGCGTAACAAAGCTTCTCCGGCTAGGGCCGCTGGCGATTGGAGAGGCAGGCGGGACTTCGGAAATGCTTGGTCCAGCTGTTCTTCTTTTATGGGGCGGGGCTCTGAGGAAAGCGCGCTCAGCCGCCTGAATTTATACTCGCGAGTTTGCACGTTGAATGTGATCCACGATCAAGGACCTCGTTGGTTCCAAAGTAACCCCTTCTCCCCCAAATTGAGCAAATCCAGAGGGCGAAGCGACATAGGACCTTGACCTGGCCAGCTAAAATGGGAAAGACCCAGGTCTCCCTTAGTCTCTCTTTTTTTTTTTTTTTTGGCACCTGTATGTTTCACTGTGCAGGTTAGCTATGATGTGAAGTAGCGAGGTTGGTTGAGTTGCTGTCCTCCCTCACTGATCTGAGGACCCCCAAGGGAAGTAGTACCTTTTTTTTTTTTTTTGTAAAGTCGGCCTTGCCTTACTGCAAATTAGGAATGTCAGCTCTAGAGACTTTGGGTTTCAGCTCGAATCTGGATTCTTTAGCGCTTAACTCTGTGATCCTGGACGAGTTTCCAAACTTGCCGAGCGTTGGTTTTTCTCATATGTAAAATAGGGCTGTGAGAATTACATGGCATAGTGTATGCAAAGAGATTAGTCACAGGGTCTAGAATATAAATTCTGTTGTTAATACTTGTGATCATTTTTGATACCTGTAATTTACAAAATGTTTACACGTTCCTACTTGAGCCTTGGGTGGAGGCGTATTTTATAGGAGAGAAGAATCAATTTGCATAGTTTTGTTGTTACTGTCTTTGGACTGGAGCAGGAAATGGCAACCCACTCCAGTGTTCTTACCTGGAGAATCCCATGGACAGAGTAGCCTGGTGAGCTATATAGTCTATGGAGTTCCAAGGAGTCGGACACGACTGAGCGCCTGAGCACACAGGCACGTGGTCATAAGGCAGCTGATACTAAAATTCCTGTTTTCTTTAAAATTTTCTCCATATTCTTTTCCATCCTTATTTGGCCAAGGCTAATGGAGTAGAGAGGAACCATTAACAGGAAGACCCACATTTCTGATGGATTGTTGCAAAAGGTTACAACATGCTGGTTTGAGGAATAGCTTTCCATAGTAACAGTGTTACAGATTGGCAGATTTCAAAGTAGATAGAGGCTGTCTAACTCCTAAGATGGTGAAAGTATTTTAGATTTGTTATAAATACAGTAATAAATTATAGACCAAAAAGTCAATGAGTATTTATGAAGTCTGTGTTGGACCTGTTAGATGTGGCACTGAGAAAATTTTAGTTATGGGCCCAAGAGGTTCATAATATCAATATAATTAGTTAAGGAAAATATAAAAACACTAAAAAATATTTTATTTGAATGTTGGCTGAGAAAAAAACAGCCTTGAGGATCTTGGAGCATGTGGTGTAGCCTACTGAGCACTGACTTTGGAACGGAGAGTCCTAGGGTCTTGATTCCGGCTCTACAATAACTCGCTATGTGCTGTTGGCAGGCCGTGGCGTCATCTCGCATATGGCCGGTGTCTGTAGCTGTGAAAGAAAGCAGCTGACCTGCCAGTGATCTTCAAGGCCCTCCTTACTCCGGTATTCCCTGGAGGCATCGGATGACTAAGAGACACTCCTGACGTTACCTGTTAGGCATTTCTGAGATTCTGGTGACCTCTTGCTGCCTTGTGGTTTTTTTAGCTGCCTTGTGTTTCAGACTCATGACTTTTCTATAGCTGGAATGCCACAGATAAAATATATTATTATATTTATATCTCACTCAGTTGAAATCATTGACAGAAAAGAAGAAAAAAGATTTTACTGAGGTTGACGGGCAAAAGTTGGAAGCAAGTAAAGTAGTTTGGAGGAGAGACCAGGTGGTGAGGTAGTTTTCGAGATGGTTGGGTTGAACAATTCCTCAATTAAACGCCAGATGGCATCCTTGACCCAGGACAGTTTACGATTTGCTGGAAGGGGTGGGACAAAGTGAAATGAAGCCCCTTCAGTGTTAGGGGGTATGCTGGAAACAGCAATTTTCTCTTTATAAAGATAAATAAATTGGATATTTTTTCTCTGGCAGTATCCATGAGCAGTAGTATGGTGCAGTTCTCTCCCTTCAAAGAAGAGCATGAGTATACCACTTTTTTTTTGAAAAGTGTTGTTTAGTATTATTTAGCAGTGAAATCATTTTCCACATTTCCAAATATTTCCCAAGCCTCTGTAATACTAGTGAAGTTGGGAGGTAGGCTTTTTTGAATTTCATTTCTGTAAATGGTTCTCTTTGCCATCATTCAGAAGAATTAGAATAAATGATAGATGCAGGACTTGGTTTTTCCCTTTTAACTGGTGTTAAACCTTGTAGGAATAGTATTGACGTGAGACAAGGTGGCGGGGAAGAGCATCCTGGTGGCAATCATGAGGCCTCTTGGCCCTGTAATTAACTTTTTATGGGGACTTGTGTGAGTAATTGAACTTCTCACCACCTCATTTTATTGAACCATAGAAAGAGGAGATCGGAATCAGTCATTTTCTAAACTGCTTAGTTGAGCACAAGTATCCCATGGTGTGTTACTAGATTTTCTTTAAAGGAAGAGCTTCATGGTTTATTAAATTAGCAAACCGCTTCCCATTTTATTACCTTGGGGAGTCACAGTGTGTATATTAAAGTTCTTGGAAATTTGTATGTACCGTAACTTGTCCCAAACTTTTGAATCCCAAAGCCCCTGTTTCTCGGGACATTTAGAGTTTCATAGAGTTGTATTTGGGAAGCACTGAGTTCTAGATTAGTAGTCAGAACACTTGGGTTGTAGAGGGGTGGGATGGGGAGGGAGACGAGAGGGAGGGACGTATGTATACCTATGGCCGACTCATGTTGATTTATGGCAGAAACCATCACAATATTGTAAAGTAATTATCCTCTAACTAAAAATTTTTTAAAATGAAAAAGAAAACTAGGTCGTAGGCTTGACTTAACTATACCTTGGTCATCACTTGACTTCCTTTAGCTCAATTTTTCCATCGGTAAAGTGGGAATAGCACTGATGATTTTATAGAATTGTTGTGGCAGCTACATGATACCATATATATAAAGATTATCAGTGTCTCATGTGTGGAACATGGTTAATGTTTAATATGTATTATTTCTTTTTCCCTTTTGACTTAAGACACTAGACCAAAATTCTTGTTATATTTTATAAAGGATGAGAACAGTGGGATATGGATAGAATAAGATACTTTATGTATCTTATTAATCTTAATAAGATACTTTATGTCCCAGTTTATTAATTCCAAGTCTTAGGAGTTTTAGTGGGTACTGATGACCTGCAATCTTTTGAATTAGTTGTGAATCATGATGAAGTAAGACTTGTTCATATAGGACTAGAGACATAGCATTGTATACCAGTGTTCATTTGGTAGTCTGCCTGTGTTTGTTTTGTTCATAACATATAATTCATTATTTTAAATTTTTTAAGTTTTCTGAAAGGATGAGGAGAAACTACACTTTTCATAATTTGGATTTTTGTTACTGTGGGATAAGTGACTGGTTCAGTTAGAGAAATAATGCCATAGGTAATTCCAGTTGCTTTTATTTAGCATGAGAATGAATCATGGAGTTTTTTAACAATGAATTTGTTTTATCATTTATAATAAGCATATGTTTATGTTGAAATTATTATATGTTTTCTTTTTTAAGTACATCATTTGAATAGTAGGAGCAATGTCCCACTGAATGTACCACACATCTGGACTTAATAAAATTTACAATGATTACTGCACAAAAGGTGTGTTTTGAGCCTTAAATATATGAATTCTTATAACCTTTTTTTTTTTTAAATTTTGCCTATGTCACAGAACTTGAATTAACATAATAGAACATAATGGTTATTGTGTGGATATAGAAACATTAATTATATTTATTTGGTTTTTGTCATTGCTACAGCTTCCAGTAGGAATCTCTTCAAATAGTTTTAGTAATCGAATGTGATAGTATGTTGGTACTTGGCCTACATGTCACTATTTGATGTATATAATACATATAATCAGATACAGGTTTTGCAGTCCATTTGATTTTCTCACTTGCTGATTTAAGTGAACTTTCATTCTGAAACAACTTGCTATTCTAAGAGAAAAACATGTAGATAACTTACAAAGTGATAGAGTGAAATCTCATTTCAGTCCAGTTGAAGATAAAGTTTTGATGTTGTTTGGCACTCTCTAATATGTGTTGATGGGCCTGATAGAATTTGTTAGCTTATGCTTAGTAGGTATGTACTCTGATTTTTGACAATGTGAAATACCACAATAAGGTGGTGGGGTGACTCCCATTGTTTTTCTCTCTCCTCGTAAATATCCAAGTGTGATAGTAGATGGATAAAAAAAGATAACCCTGAAACAATAAGAAGGAGCCATTAGAGCTGGTGGTTGCAGAATATTTATAAAGAAGAAAAGCAGATGGAGGTGTGGTTATTGGTGAACAGGCACAGAGGAAGTCCCAACTGAAGTCTGTGTGCCGAGGGTCTGCAGTTTCAGAGGAAGCTGAGCTGCTTTGCAGAACCTCAGGGTCTGAGGACATGATGTTGTATGGGGGGAGGGTGAGAGAGAGAGACGTGTGGAGCTTGACTGGGAGGAGCCGTTTAAGTTGTCTACGGAATGGCAGGCACTTGGGT